TATATTTCTTCTTCTTGTCTAATTGCTATGGCTAGCACTTCCAGTACTATGTCAAACAGGAGTGGTGAAAGTGGGCATCCCTGTCTTGTTCCTGTTCTTAGGTGAAATTGTTTTAGTTTTTGCCCATTGAGTATGATGTTGGCTGTAGGTTTGTCATATAAGGCTTTTATTATGTTGAGGTATGATCCCTCTATTCCCATTTTCCTGAGGGTTTTTATCAAGAAAGGATGTTGGAATTTGTCAAATGCTATTTCTGCATCAATTGATTTGACTATGTGATTTTTATCTCTCAATTTGTTTATGTGATGTATTACATTTATTGATTTGCAGATATTGTACCATCCTGCATCCCTGGAATAAATCCCACTTGGTCATGGTGTATGATCTTTCTAATGTAATGCTGAAACCTATTTGCTAGAATTTTGTTGAGATTTTAGCATCTATGTTTATCAAGGATATTGGTCTGTAGTTATCTTTTGTTGTGATATATTTATCTGGTTTTGGGATTAGGGAAAGGCTGGCTGCATAGAAAGAACTTGGAAGTGTACCTTCCTATTGAATTTTTTGGAATAATCTGAGGAGGATAGGTTTTAGTTCTTCTTTGAAAGCTTGGTAGAATTCCCCTGTAAAGCCGTTCTGACCAGGGCTTTTGTTTGCTGGAAGATTTTTTATCACTGCTTCAATTTCTTTGGTAGCTATTAGCCTATTCAGGTTTTTTTATTCTTCTTGATTGAGTTTTGGGAGCTTGCATTTTTCTAACAATATGTCCATTTTGTCTAGGTTGTCCATTTTGTTGGAATAGAGCTGTTCATAGTATTTTTTCATAATCATTTGTATTTCTGTGGGATTTGCTGTTACTTCACCTCATTCATTTCTGATTTTTCTTATTTGGGTTCTCTCTCTTTGCTTCTTGGTGATCCTGGGTAGAGGTTCATCAATCTTGTTTACCCTTTCAAAGAACCAGCTCTTGGTTTTGTTGATCTTTAGTATTGCTTTTTTGGACTCTATATCGTTTATCTCTGCTCTGATCTTCATAATTTCCTTCCTTCCACTTACACTGGGCTTTTCTTGTTGCTCTCTTTCTAACTCTTTGAGTTGTAGGGTTAGATAATTTATTACTATTTTTTTTCTTGTTTTTTGAGATAGGCCTGTAGAGCTATGATCTTCCCTCTTAAGATTACTTTCACTGTGTGTGTCCCATAGAGTTTTGATTGTTGTGTTTTCATTGCCATTTGTTGCAAGGATGCTTTTTATTTTCTCTTTGATCTAGTTGGCAACCCAATCATTGTTTAATGGCATGCTATTTATCGTCCAGGTGTTTGATTTTATTTGTTTTTATTGTAGTTCATTTCTAGTTTTATGCCATTGTGATCTGAGAAGATGCTTGATCTAGTGAGTCATTTAGGATTGATGTTTCTTTGCTGATTCCTTGTTTAGAGGATTTGTCCAGTGGTGTTAGTGGGATACTAAAGTCCCCTACTATTATTGTATTACTGTCAACCTCTCCCTTGATATCCTTCAGAAGTTTTTTTTATGCATTTTGTTGCTCCTGTAGTGGATGCATATATGTTTACCAGAGTTATATCTTCTTGTTGAATTGCTCACTTTAGTATTATGAAGTGGCCTTCCTTAACTCTTCTTATGGCCTTCATTTTGAGGTCTAATTTGTCAGATATAAGTATTGCTACCCCAGCTTTTTTTTTTTTTGCATTTTCATTTTCCTTAAAACCCTTTTTCCACCCATTCACCATCAGTCTGTGTGAATCTTTTGTTCTGAGATGGGTGTCCTCTAGACAGCAGTTATATGGATAATGTTTTCTTATCCACTCAGCTACCCTATGTCTTTTGATTGGGGCATTTAATCCATTTACATTTAAAGTTATTATTGACAGGTACTTCTTTGTCACCATTTTTATTCTTCACTCCTGTGTTCCTTCTTCCCTTCCTATTTCTTCTTTTTACAGAAGACCCTTTAGCATTTCTTGCATTGTAGGTTTGGTTGTAATAAACTCCATTAGTCTTTTTTTGTCTGTGGAGCTCCTGATTTCACCCTCAATTTTGATTGATAGCCTTGCTGGGTACAGTAATCTTGGATTCAGACCCTCCTTTACAG